TTCATTGCAAACACCTTTTTTCAACAACACAAACGGAGGCTGTACATGTGGACTTCACCAGATGGACGACGTGTAGCATTGGGAAAGTCAACTGTGAAGGAACTGTATCAAGTGCTGAGGAGCAAGGATATCTCCTTGAGGACTAAGGTGCGCCCCATTTTCACTGACCTTGTACTTTACCAATTATGATATCCCTCTCCAGGGGCTGGATCCTTCTGATAACCAATGTACAGGAGACAAAGTTTGGCCATTCTCGCTTCTAAGGAGCAGTATAGGAGCTCTGGTAGCATAGTCCTAAGGCACTTGACTGCTAACCAGAAGGCTAGCAGTTCAAACCCACCAGCCACTCCTCATAAGGAATACTGGGCAATCTATTTCCATAGTGATACCACCTCCAAAACCCAAGAAGGGGTTGCTATGTCAGGTCGGACTCGATGGCTCATAACAACAACAAGAAGGAGCAATCTGGAGATATTTCCTCCAAGACAAGATTTGTTTTTTCTTCTAGAAGTCCATGGTACTTTCAATATTCTTCCCCAACACCAAAACTCAAATGCATCAGTTTTTCTAGGGATAATAAACCAAATCCCAAAACCACTGCTATTAAGTCGATTCTGACTCATAGCAACCCCCAGAGGGTTTCCAACGCTGTAAATCTTTCCAGAAGCCGACTGTGTCAATGTTCTTCTGCAGAGTGGCTGGTGAGTTTGAACCGTGAACTTTTTGGTTAGCAGCAGAATACTTCACCCTCTACACCACCAGAGCAGCTACCTAATAAGGGTAGTTGTATAACACAGCCATATGCGTAAAATACATATATTGCCTAGCTCACTTTAGACTCAATTAATATTAGCTACTCTCATCATTAGTTATTATTAATAATAAAATGGCAATTTTATTAACTTCTGATTTCATGGTTAGAGTTTTTTCTGAATGTGTAATTCAGCAGAAATGGCTTAAGCTTTGGAGTAGTAAAACCTCTGAATTCTGAGTGTTCTCTCTGGGGTGCAGGAAAAGCCACTTAACCTCTCTGAGCAGGAGCTTCCTCCAATGGAGTATCTGAGTACTAATGCCTACCTTGCCAGATTATGAGTGAGTGAGGCCATTCTTCCCCTCACAGACACCACATTCAACTAATAATAACTTCTAGTATTAATGTTTAAGGCACCTACTTCACCTCATGCGCAAGTGAAAGCTGGACAATGAATAAGGAAGACTGAAGAATAGGCCTTTGAATTGTGATGTTGGTGAAGAATACTGAAAATACTGTGAACTGCCAGAAGAACAAACAGATCTGTCCCTGAAGAAGTACAGCTAGAATGCTCCTTAGTAGCAAGAATAGCCAGATTTCATTTCACCTACTTTGGTCATGTTGTCAGAATGGACCATTCCCTGGAAAAGGATATCATGCTTGATGGAATAGAGGGTCAGCATAAAAGGGGAAGACCTTTAACTAGATGGATTTACAGAGTAGCTGCAATGATGGGCTCAATCCTAGCAAGGATTGTGAGAATGGCATAGGACCGGGTAGCGATTCATTCTGTTGTACAGAAGGCCAGTATGAATCAGAGCCAATTTGATGGCACCTAGCAACAACAGTATAAATGTTGCAATAGCAGTAGTTGAAAAACAAAGAATCCTCCAACTTAAATGCCTTGGAGTAAATAAAGTATTATACAGGGGTAGAAAATAAGGCTGTCCTCAGTTGCCAGTCCTGCTGGTTAGTGACGGCTTGACATCTCCTGTTAGGACTCCCAGAATTTATTGAAGCCATTAAATGCATGCAATGCTGACGAATCCAGAAACTGAGACCCAACATATGACTATGACCAAGTGTATTTAAATAGCCCCAGATAATTAGTATGAATCAGTATATTTGATGAAAAAGCTAGTGATAGACACAAAATATTCCACAGATAAGACATACTTTAAAAATAGAAATACAAATCAACACTCCTATTTTCATGTGAAAGGTGTTGAAGGAAAGAGTTGATAGTATCTGAAAAATCAACAAAAAGATAACATTAAAACCAATCTTTTTACTCTTATGCTCCAAATTAGTTCTTTGTCAATGTATGTAGAGTGTTAGAAACTCATTTATTGTATCAGTTTGTTACTATGCAAATATTTTAAGCTAACTTGTTTACATTTACTTTAATCTGTGGCAGTAAATCTGATGGAGTTAATCTGATGGAGTAAAGGGTAGAGACCTGTGTTGGTTAATGTAATGTGCCAAATTAGCCAGTCTCTGCTGCTTAGTCGTTTGGTCAAAAACTAGTCCAGATAGTGTGTGAAGGAATTTTGTTGATGTGATTAATATTTACAATCTAAGTAAAGGAGATTACCCTTGATAATGTGAGCCTGATTCAAAAAGTTGAAGGTTTTAAGAATAAAAATCTAAGGTTTCTTAAAGGTGGAAGAATTCTGCTTCAAGACTGTTAATATATGTACCCTGCTGAAGTTTACAGCCTATGCCTGACCTAAGGATTTTGGACTTACCAGCCCCCACAATCTTCTGAAACAATCCTTAAAATAAATATATCTATCTATATGACTAATACAAGACAAAGGCTTAACAAAGGTGATTCTAAGATATCAAAGGTTTCTCAAAGGTGATTCTAAAACATCTCTGCATATTACAAATGATTGTTTTAAACACAGGATGTATAGAAAACGAGCCATTACCTTTAAGAGACAGTTCTTCAGAAACCAAAGGAACAGGCCTGAGTTTCTTATTTACTTTTAAACTAATCAATATGTTTTATTTCCTAGAACTGAAATAATCTACAGTTCTAGACTTAAATTTTCAAAGCAACAATCAAAACATTTTGTATCAGAGCCCAAGGGAGAGAGTAGGGGTGAAAGAGATAAGAGATGAAGAAAGTCATAGACCCCAGGAAGAGGTAGGGAAGGGACACTTATTCCTTCTGTCTTCTCAGGTTACGTATCAGATTTGGTGACAACACTAAGGAGATCACATGAATAATATGGATGGGAAATGATACCACAAGAAACACCAGTGCCCTCGCCACAGAAGTCATCAAAACCCAAAAACAAAAGGAAGCCTCCTGGTGCATCTCAGAAATGGAGGTGGTGATTGGAGAGCAGGCAGCAGACTGGAGGCATTCAAGGGGTAGGAGGTCTTTTCCTTAGGAGTGGGTGAAACATATGACTCTTAAGGTGGCTTTGAGGTGTGGAAACAGGACAAAAGGCCACCAGGGATCTCCCCAGGGCTTCCCATCTGTGGACCCAGAGATCTAACTGGGAACAGATATTCCTCATCATTCACACTCAAGCTGGGCAAAAGCAATTGGTCAGATCTCAGACTCTCTGCCCCAACAATGTGGGGCCTTAAAACTTTTTGATGAAAAGCAACACCACCCAGAATTCTTTGGATCTAAACACTTTTATGCAAGGGAGGCCCTCCTTCACAAGGTAGGGCAACTGGGGACAGGAACTCAATTAAGATGTCATCGTCCTGCCCTTCCCATTACAATTTGAGGGTTGCCTTCTCTAGACCCGTGTATGTCCACCCTACTGTTTATGCTCTATCCCTTCCATGCCTACCCTTGTTCCTAAGCAGAATCCAGAGTGCCTGGGGGAGAGAGAGAGGGGTGTCAGGAAGTGGAAACAGCTGGTCCAAGCCCCACCTGAAGCGCTGGGAAACAGCTCCAGGAAAGGAGAAAGTACACAGTGGCTCTAATTCAGATCACAGGGATATGGCAACATGGCAGTGAGGACCAGGTGGCCTGGCTCAAGCAGGTCAAGGCCCAGGGGCAGGCTGAGAAAGGGTGTGGAGGGAGAAAGTGGGTTGGGGTAGGGGAAGACAGTTCCAGATTGCAGGTCACGGCCAGTTTCCCCAGTAACAGCCAGACAGCAACAGGAACGGGGCTCTTCTGAAACGTTGGTGACTATGGACTCTCCTGACCTCTGACCCCTGGGGTCTCAGCCTCCTTCTCAGGCGTTTCTTCCACTTCCTCAGGCTTCTGCTCCTCTTCGGGGGGGCGGCATACCGCGCGGAGCTCCGAGGGGTCGCTGTTGTCCTCCTCCTCCACCAGGAGAGGCATCTCATCGCCGACCCTGGCCTCTTCCTTCTCCTCTCTTTTGGGCTCGGCCTCCTTGGGACGTTTGGGGGAGGTCTCCAGCAGGTCTCCAGCGCTCCCCTTCAGCGTACACTTCTCCTTCTCCTCCTTGGCTGGCTCCCTGAGGGTTAGCTTTCCCTCTTGGTCACCGCTGCCTTTAAGGGGCCTCTTCTTAATCCCGGCACCGTCGGTGGGCCTCTTCTTATCTCCGGCTCCCTCGGTAGCCATAGGCTGGGGCTTGTCCCCGCAGCTCTTTTCTTGGGAGAAATGGCAGTCAGAAGCCTTGATAGTGGGGTTGTTCTCGATCTCCCACAGCCCCTCACTGAAGCCTCTCCTCTTGTTGGGTCTGCCAAACTTCTCCTTGTACTCTTCATATGGGAAAAGGTTTTTGGAGCCCAAGAATGCCGTCTCATGGGTCCCAAAAAAAAAGACTTGGTATCTGTTGGACCCATTTGTCTGTTCTATTCGGGCAGGCCAATGCATGAAGCCCTTAAGCTTTGCAAACACTAAGTCCCCACATTTGTACTTGCGCTGGTTGTGGAGCGACATGGCGGAGGGCTGCGGCATCTGTTTCCGGCGAGGATGGAAAGTGCCACGCACAATTTTCACGCGCGTAGCAGCCGCTGAGCTTCAGCGACTGCGCACTCCGCCTCGAGGTCGCCCCCTGCCGGATACTTTCCATCTGCTTCCCATTTGGTCTTGCCTGGCTCCCCTAGCCCCACCCCCTGTCTTCTGACCCACACTGTTAGCATTCGTGTAGAGCCTGCGCTAATGGCTGCCCAAGTGCTGGAGCCTGGAGAAGATTCTCACAGAAAGAGGTATAAAGCAGAGAGGTTGTCCCAGTGTCCGTTGTGTGCTGAAAGTGACCCGTAGCTAGTCCAGCTCTAGGGAATGTGAGCCATGAAGATTGCGTAGTTGCTGTGTGGCAAAGTAGATTGCATGGTTGATGTCTGGTAAAGTAGCCTAGAAGGGAGAAGTGGGACAATTAACACGTATTTCCATGAAATTATTAACAGGCTAGCAGTTGGGTGGTGAAAAATATTAAGTGCTTGGCTCCTAGCTGTAATGCCACCAGACCTCTTACCGTAAGGTGGTGGTGGTTGCTTTGTGCTGTCCAGTCGGACGAGACTCACAGAGACCCCTCCTTGGGTTTCGCAGGCGGTATCACCACAGAAGTAGATTGCCCAACCTTCCTTCAGAGGAGTGGCTGGTGAGTTTCCACTGCAAGACTTCTGGTTAGCAGTCAAGTGCCTTAGGCACTATGCTAGCAGAGCTTCCTACTGTAAGGTGGTTGTTGTTGTTGTTTTTGCTGTCGAGTCGGCCCCGACTCATAGCGACCCCTCCTTGGGTTTCCGAGGCAGTATCACTACGGAAGTAAGATTGCCCAACCTGCCTTCCGAGGAGTGGCTGGTGGGTTTGAACCACCAGCCTTCTGGTGAGCAGTCAAGTGTCTTAGGCACTATGCTACCAGAGCTCCTACTGTAAGGTTAGAAGATTTGAATTCACCCATAGGCACTTTGAGAAAAAGGCCTGGCAGTCTACTTCTAAATTTAAAACTCCTAGGAGCACTGATGGTACTCTGAAACACATGGGGTCACCATGAATGTAAATCAACTCCAAATCAAACCAAACCAAACTCACTGCCATCTAGTCAATTCTGACTCACAGTGAACCCTCCTTGGGTTTCCCAGACAGTGTCTGTACAGAAGTAGATTGCCCAGTCTTCCTTGCTACCAGTGGCCTGTAGATTTGAACCGCCAGCCTTCTGGTTAGCAGTCAAACACCTTAGGCACTACACCACCAAAACTAGAAGCAACTTATTTCTTTGTTTTACTAATAGGCTGGTGTAAAGTGCAATATCCCTTGTGGGTTTCAATCTGCTTGCTCTCAACAGAAAAATCCACCACTGTCTCAGAGCCATTGATGAGATAGCTGGATCAACAGTTTAATCACTTTTTGTGATTTCCTTGGGGGCTAATACCAGAGCAAGTGAGGCTCAAAAATATGGTGGAAGTCTGGAAAAGCTTGGAGTCAGCAAGGCTGACTTAAGCAAGTCTTAAGAGTAGTACATAGGGAGCTCTGGTGGCATAGTGGCTAAGGCATTTGACTGCTAACCAGAAGGACACAAAAATTCTAAGCATTTAGTATGTTTTTAGGATATATATATATACACACATATCTGTATCTCTCTGTATATATATATATATATATATATATCTTTATATAAATATATCGATATCAACATCATGACCATCTCAAAACAACCACATCAGAAATTCCTACTTTGCATGTAAACATTTGGGCTTTACCTTTTCAGTGATTTTTGCATATTGTGAGAAGATAATACTATGTGGTTTAACACTGAAAATGCTCAATATATTCTTATAAGAAAGGAGAATTGGGATCATTACGAGAAAAAATGAGGCAGAGGTCCACTCAACTGCAAAATTCTATTGGCAGGTAGAATTTGCTATCAGGCATTTGACTGCTAACCAGAAGTCTGGTGGTTCAAACCCACCAGCCGCTTCTCGGAAGGAAGATGGGGCAATCTACTTCCGTAGTGATACTGCCTCGGAAACCCAAGGAGGGGTCGCTATGAGTTGGGTCCGCCTCGACGGCACATAACAACAACAACATCGTAGACTAAAAAGGAAAAGGTCAGCTGAGAGACCTTTTAAACAGATTTGAATAAAAGTTTCAGTGTAATTGCACTTGGTACTCATTTTTCTACATCTTTTTGAGTCCTGCTACCTAGCCATGAGTATGTACTCCAAAACCTGGCCAAACTTAGCCTAACAGTACTCTTGGCTATTACGAAAAATATTTTTCAACATCAAACATCTATTTAACTACACAACTGTTCTCTCCTAGTATTTCTAACAACAACCAATGGAGAATTAGAACTATTATCCCACATCAGCACAACTCAGATTTGTTTCTGGTTTGCTTGCTTGGATCTTCCGTTTTACCTCTGGGTGGTGGAGACCAGTCTGGGCAACAGGAGTTACCTTCTCCCACAAGGTGATGTACATTGATGATTCTAAGCAAGGTCTTTTAGTGTTTCTGTCAAGTCATTTTCTTAGAGCATCTAGCTTCTCTATAAATATCTACAAACCAAAATACCAAACCTGTTACTGTGGAGTCAATTCTGACCCATAGCGACCCTATAGGACACAGTAGAACTGCCCATAGGGTTTCCAAGGTTGTAAATCTTACAGAAGCAGACTGTTATATCTTTCTCCTACTGAGTGACTGGTGGGTTTCAACTGCAGACCCTTTGATTACCAGCTAAGTGCTAACTATTGTGCCACCAGAGCTCCTTATAAATATTTTACCAAATAAGTTTTACCAAATAAGTATCATCAATTCATCAATAGTTTCTTTACAAATTGACATTCTGCTACAAAAGTGAAGTTGACACAATTCTTCCATTCAATTTTATATGGAAAGTGCTAAAAAAATAGAAATATATAGTGGCTGTAGAAGGAGACAGGAAATCATGGGCAGCTATGGAGCACATAACAGGAAGGGATTTGGAGTTTCAATAAGCAGGTACCATGCTACATTGCCCTTTTTTTCTGAGCTCCTAAGTATGCTGTACTAATGCGCAGATCATGTACCAAGGTTAGTCAAGGAGGAAAAAGTTTGACTAGATAGCATGTCTAGAAAGGAAAGGAATTTAGTTATGTCATCTCTCAGCCTGAAGGCATAACCAAACCTAAAAACCAACCGCTCAAAGTGAGTACAACTATCAATAAATAGACCACCGTAGTACAAGATAAACACCAAAAATTATTGCTGGGTGGTTGAACCAGAGCAAGTGAACAGGTAGGAGGAGAGTACTAACTGAACTGGGGACCTGAGAGTTAGAGCAAACAGCCAAAAACCTGACAAAAACTGAGGCAAAAATTATAGTATGAAATAGAGGCAAGAAAGTCTAGTATAGAAAGATGGAAATATACAAAATAGATTCTACAGATTTTGTTAGACAAAGGACTGTCATTCCCCAAGTTGATCTTAATAAATGAGATTGAGTATAAAAGTTCAGACAGTGGGTATGAAGGTCTATGAAACAGTAGAAAAGGAGAAGTGTACTATCATCATGGATAGAATTTGGCTATCATCATTAGGCTAAAATGAAGCTAAAATAAATTGGCTATTAACATTAGGCTACCAAAAGGAGCAGCGTCCTAAACAAGGACACGGAAAGCAGAATGAAGAAAAACCCTTCACCAGAAGAATGACACTTGTTTTTCATTTTTCAGTGCAACTTCTTCTCTAAGAAACAAATAAAAATTTTTGTTACTTAGAAATTTTCTTTTGAAAAATAGCTTTCTTTAATTAAATTTATCTCCTAAAGGTAGCTTATTCTAGAAAGGGGAAGTGGGAGAAAGGTTCAACAAAAGTAGGATGCATTTAAAGAGTGTTAGAGGATGGTGGTCCCCAGAGGGTACGAATGGTTGACTCACTTGGCTGCTAAATCAAAAGGTTGGCAGTCTGAGTCCACAGAGAGGTGCCTTGGAAGAAAGTCCTGGCAATCTATTTCCAAAAATTTAGCCCTTGAAAATCCTACAGAGCACAGTTTTGACACACATAGGGTCACCAAAAGTCAGAATCAACTCAACAGCAACTAATGGTAAATAAAGGCAGCTTTCATAGATACTTCATTCCTTTTATACCTGCATTTTCAGTGATGCAATTAAGTGGAGTGGTCATAGCTTCATTTATCTTTGGAACCTATTTGTGTTTAAAATTATTAGTTCATTTGCTCAAAATGAGTAGAGTAGGGAAATGGTGTTCATAGTAACTTGATAGTAGGTTTAGATTTAACTTTTATATAAGCAACATACTCTTGAGCAACTACAAGGATTCATTTTCTGGAACTAGATCTCCATGAGCACAGATGTTTCTAATAAATAAGAATGTTTAAAAACTCCAATGTACCAAGAACAGCTATTTGTAAAAAGCACTTAAATTCAGTGGCAGCTTACCTATCACAGCAACACCTCAGAGTCCAAAACATGTAACACTTTCTCCGTTGCCTTTTCTAGGGAACTAACCATGGGATTTAAAAGCTGCTTGGCAACAATTATGAAAGAAGAGCAATAAAACAACATAATTGTACAAGAGAGAGAATAGGTATCTAATTGACGTGTTCTTGTTTAATTAGTTTTAAATTCAATTAATTTGCTGTAAACTATAATGTAAAAGAAATATAATTATTTCCTATGTGATCTTATCTTCATTTAAAAATATTAACTGCCTCTGGATTTAGACAGTAGAAGTGTTTATACATGGTTAGTATTTGCAGTCAAGGCCTTTCTTTTTAAAATGTTCTGACAGACAACATTACACAGAAAATAAGTTGACCCCCACCCACATACCTATGGGTAGAAAATTCCCACCGTCCTTAAAATGTCATAGGAACTCTGCTGCCTCTGTATCTTTTCCACCTCTACATTTTAAAATTATACTTAAAAAACTTTATGGACAGAAAGTATAGCCGTTTAATTTTTAAATCATTATGCAAATATACCACATTATATGCA